CCTCCCCCCCCCCAGCCCTGGAGATATTTAAGACCAGTTGCATAGACATCTATCAGGGATGATCGAGATGGTGCTTGGTCCTGCCGTGAGGGCAGGGGACTGGACTTTTCAAGGTCCCTTCCAGTTCTAGTGTTCTATGATTCTTTGAGCTGCCCATACAGCACCGTGGCTAAAAGGGCTGATGAGATTCTAGGATGAATAAACTAGGGAATATCATGTAGGACACAAGACGTTATTCCGCCCCTCTATTTGGCAGTGGTGTTCCTGGTCTATTGTGGTGGTTCTGGTCTATTGTGTAATTCCTTCTAGTGCCATATAGGTGTAAATCAACGTTGCCCACATGACTGGCCTGTAATATGCAAAGGGAATATTGTCCGTCTTGTGGAAATGTCTCTGCTCTTTAGGGACACTAAATATCGAATGTGTTCTGCTTCTTCTCCTAAGGGAGTCATTTTTCCAACATCTCTCTCCCCCCATGGCTCGTCTCAAAGCATTCTGACAAAGTAGTGCCACTAGGTTTGTGGGCTCAGTGTCCAAGGCCACGTCTTCACTGAATGGAAGATCAACACTGTCATGATCGATCTTCTGGAGTTTGATTTAGTGTGTCTAGTCAAGACCTGCTAAATCAAACTCAGAGTATGCCCTGTCAGTGGCTGGAACTCCTGCTTCTGCAAGGAGTAAGGAAAACTGATGGAAGCATTTGTTCCCATTGGCTTTCTACTGTGGGCATGGTGGGGAAACTCAAAACAAGGTATGTTGACTCCAGCTTCTTAATTAATGTAGTTGGAGTTGTGTATCTTGATTCAACCTTCCCTTTTAGTGTAGACCTGGCTTGAGAGAATCTGGCCAGCTGGTAGTAGGGCATAAGGCAGAGACCACAAAACACATTTTCCTCCCGTTATAGTTGGCAGCTTGTCACTCCTGGGACACTCGGGGTCACAGCTCCAAGAGACCCTGGGCCGGAACAATGAGCTATTTAACTAAAGGCCCTCTCTGGCAGCTGAAATGCTGGCATTTGTCCTGCTGGTTCCTGACATCCGCCTCCTCCAGGGGACACTTTCTCTCTTTCAGGTGGTTGGCGCTGGGCGGAGCCCTGGAAATACTGTTCGCGTAAATTCCTCTTTATCCTCCTGGTTGTTGCTGCTGTCATCATCACTGTGGTTTTATTTGGTGAGAATTCAGTGCCCCTCTCTCCTTTCTGTTGTCCGTTCAGCCCAGGTGTCTCAATCACATGGTTTTCTCTCTTCTGGGCTATAGTGGAGTTATATAAGAGACTTGCGCCAGCTGTTGCCTTTCATGCCAGCTCTGTGCTATTCTCCATGGGCGCCAGTCCTCAGCAGTGTTCCCTGCATGTTGGGTGCTTGTGCAGCCACTCAGGAGAAATGCCAGTGCTGCCCGACTACCAGGTTGTGTGTGTGTAGTGGTGGTGCCCATTCACACCTGCCTCAGTGCACATACAATTATTCCACAAATGGACAGAAAAAAATCTGTGTGGACAGAAAAGATTAGAGGGAGTATAGGTGCTGAGATAGGAAGACTGCTAAGTGGGAAGTGGCATGAATTAAAACCGTGGGTCACTTGGGGTGTGTCAAGACTTCACCTCTCTGTCAACAGAGAGATGTAGATTAGGCACGTCGAACTTGCAAATGAAGCGGGGAATTTAAATATCCCACACTTCATTAGCATAAACATGGCCACCACTTTTTTTCAACATGGAGCTTTGTCGACAAAAAACGGCCATCTAGATGCAGATCTGTTGACAATAAACCCTTTTTCGACAGACCCTCTAAGCCTCCAAAAATGAGGTTTACAGGATCTGTCGAAAAAGGGTTTATTGTCGACGGAGCCACGTCTAGACGGCCGTTTTTTGTCCACAAAACTCCGTGTTGAAAAAAACACGCTGGCCATGTTTATGCTAATGAAGCGTGGGATATTTAAATCCCTGCTTCATTAGCAATTTCGATGTGCCTAATCTATATCTCTCTAGCAACCGAGAGGTGTAGTCTAAACACACCCTTGACGGTCACCTGTTCTGTTCATTCCATCTTGGCCACCTGGCACTGGCTCCTGTCAGAAGACAGGTTACTGGGTTAGAGGGGCCATTGGTTCTCACTTAGCATGGCCGTTCTTATTAGATCTATATTTAAAAAACAACAAATAGTCTAATAGCAATATAAAGACTAACAAAACATGTAGATGGGATCATGAGCTTTTGTGGGTCATCTGAAGAAGCTCATGATCCCATCTACGTGTTTGGTTAATCTTTAAAGTGCTACCAGACCATCTGTTGGTTTTTAAATGTTTCCTGTACAGACTAATTCGACTACCCATCTGAAGCTTTTTCTTGGATATAGTTAGTGCAATTTTGCGATGAGGCTCTGGGGCCATCTTGTGGCTGGACTTTATTTTTTCATCTGAAGAAGTGGGCTGTGCCCACGGATGCTCATGATACCATCTACATGTTTTGCTAGTCTGAGGGGCTGCAAGATTATTCGTTATTTTTCCTGTTCCGGACTAACTCAGCTACCCCTTTGAAGCTTTATTTTTGTAATAATACAGGAGACAGGCATGTAGTAAACAACATTGATTAATACAAAATAAATGCACATTAGAAAAAAAATCCCAATTATACATCCCAAATTATATATCTAAATTAGCTGTTGCCACTCAAGAAAGAGATCTTACATAAGAACATAAGAACGGCCGTACTGGGTCAGACCAAAGGTCCATCTAGACCAGTAGCCTGTCTGCCGAAAGCGGCCAGCACCAGGTGCCCCAGAGAGGGTGGACCGAAGACAATGATCAAGCAATTTGTCTCCTGCCGTCCCTCTTCAGCCTCTGACAAACAGAGGCCAAGGACACCATTTTATCCCCTGGCTAATCGCCTTTTGTGGACCTAACCTCCATGAAATTATCTAGCTTCTCCTTAAACTCTATTATAATCCTAGCCTTCACAGCCTCCTCTGGCAAGGAGTTCCACAGATTGATTACATGCTGTCAACCTTGGAGTCCTATTGGCTTGTTCTCTGAAAATAGCTGTTCCATGTGTCAAAAAAATAGCACAGAAAATTAGGAGCCATTAGGAAAGAGAGTTTCTGTCTTATTATATCTCATATTGAAACTAAATAAATCTGTGGTATATTTCATGCAGTCTTGGTCATCTCAACTCAAAAAAGATGCTGTAGACTTGGAAAAGGGTGCAGACAACGAGGACAAAAAATATTTGGGGTATAGAGCAGCTTCCATACAAGGAAGAATAAAAAGACTGGTACTGCTCAATTTAGAAAAGAGATAGCTAAGGTGTGGATATGACAGAGATCTATAAAATGACAACTAGTGTGGAGAACGTAGATAGGGAAGTATAATTTACCCCATCACATAACACAAGAACTAAGGGTAATGTGATGCAATGAATTGGTAGCAGGTTTAAAACAAACAAAAGGAAGTACTTCTTCATGCGATGTAGCCAACCTGTGGAACTCCTTGCCAGAGGATGTTGTAATGTTATCAAGGCCAAAAATATAAGTGAGTTCAAAAGGAATTAGCTAAGTTCATGGAGGATAGGCTCATCCATGGCTATTAGCCATGATAATCAAGGATGAAAATTCATGCGCTCCCTAACCATCCACCCGCCAGGAGCTGAGAATGAGTGACAGGGGATGGATCATGATGATTCCTTGTTTTATTCATTCCCGCCGGAGCACCTGGCCCTTGGCTGCTGTCAAAAGAGAGGATACTGAGCTAGCTGATTCAGTGAGGCTAATCCTTTGTTCTTAAGCCGCAACGTTCACTCAGATGCGTTTTTTTCCCACTTAAAAATAAGATCCTTTCCTTTAAAAAAAAATATATAAAGAGAGATATGAGCACTGGGCAGGCCCACCAATGGGGAGAGGAAGGAGGCAACTCCCCATAGGGCCCCATACTCTTTAAATTGCAAGAACGCCTCGTGGTATGCTTCAAATAGCTCTAAGGGCTGAGGTCTGGGGGTCTGGAATGGTACACTCCAGGCCATGCTAAAGGCTGGCTGCTGTTGGCCCCGCCCCTTCCCCTCAAGGCCCCGCCCCTTTGGGAGAGGCCCACCAATGGGGAGAGGAAGGAGGCAACTCCCCATAGGGCCCCATACTCTTTAAATTGCAAGAACGCCTCGTGGTATGCTTCAAATAGCTCTAAGGGCTGAGGTCTGGGGGTCTGGAATGGTACACTCCAGGCCATGCTAAAGGCTGGCTGCTGTTGGCCCCGCCCCTTCCCCTCAAGGCCCCGCCCCTTTGGGAGCAATGGAGCCATCCTCTGCCAGACTTTGCCCAGAGGGCTGGCGAAGCTGTCGGCTCCCCGATCTAGTCTGACCTCCC